GTTGCATATCTTACCCACTCGGCTCGGGCAATTTCATTGAGATGGAAATATTGCACGGCTCGGTTCAACCATGTGTCAGGATCGGTCCCGTTGAATGTCGACAGCACAATCTTTGGCTTCTCGACCCTAGGTCGCCCTGCGTTGGTCGAGGCGTGAGATCGACGATCGAAGTCGTCCTCTCTCTCCTCATACTCCGGTCGCTCGCGTTCGTACTCCCGTGATCGCGTCCTTGGTCGACCCCGTGGCGGCGGTTGCCGCACGAAGCGCAGCACCTCATCGATCCTTTGGTTCATGGCGTCCATCATGGCTTGTTGTGAATTATGGATCGACCTTTCTAGGTGCGTGAGATTGTCGGCCATGGATGTGTTGGTGGCCTCCAAATCCACGAGCTTCGCCTTTGTTTCCTTGGCCATTTTTTTTTGTTTTAAGACACGAAAATTAAAGAAAGGGATGGGATAAAGAACACGCGATTGATTCTCTCAATGAAAGCACCAATGATGAAGGATCGCGTGTTCCCGACTCGTGTCTAGCCTCAGACGTTGTGCGAACTCGGCCTTCGGCGAGAGTTGCGGATGACTCGGAGGTTAATCTCTTTATCTTCTCGCGATAGGTGAGACAGCTCGGACGTGAGTCCTTGCCAAACTCGTCTTGTTCGAGCTATGCGGTGGACGCCCTTCTCGTAACAAGGGTTTTGCACTAAATCTCAAAAGAAATCTAACACAAGAATTTGAACACAAGGTTCGACTTTTTCATTATTTTCTGCATGATAATTTCGAATGACAATGGGCATATTTATAGATACCAAACTAAGTCTAATCCTAGTCTAAGAAGAACTTCTAATGCATGGAAATAAATAAAGTCCTAAGGAAACTAAATATCTAATGAATATAGACTTACCAAACTACTAAGATATTATTAGGCACATGCCTTTTATTCCAAATCCTAACTATACTATGATTCCTAATATGCTAGTGATAATCGGCCCTAGGCTTTCTAGAAGGATCTCGGTCCTTTAGTGTCTTGCACCTCGCCCAAACCCTAGCCGTCACGGCTAGTCCTTGTCCTTCGAGGTCACGGCCTTTTCCCTTGTCCCACGCGTCGCACGTGTTACCTGCCTTGCGCCCCAAGTCGCGTCATTAATCCCTAGGCGGCGCGGTTCTCCTAGTTCTTCGAGGACTCATGCTTGCCAGTCCTCGCGCATCGCGCCCCATGCACCCGCCAGCAGTCTCCCGCGCGTTGTCGCACCAGCTCGCGTGCCTGTACGCGTTGTGCGCGGATGCGGTCTTTTCGCAAGCGTTCTCGCGCGCGTCTTCTCGCGCTCCTCTGGTCGTCTCGCGCGTAGCCCGCACGCTGGTTCCCACTGCTCGTCCTTGGCCGACCGCGGCGCGCGCTAACCACCCAACATCCTCCCCTCGCGCACCGCCTGGTTCCTCCGCCGCGTATACGCCACCCGCATGGTAGTGCTTCGCGTCCTTCGCCTGTTCGCGGTTGACCCTCGCACCGACCTCACGGCGTCGCTTCTGGGTCACCCGTCGCGAACCTCCCGTCGTGCCATTGTCATGACCCCGTCTCGTGTGCCCTGTCCCAGCACACCGGTTGTGCGACTCCCGCGTTCAGCTCGTCCGCGCCTCGCGTGTTTCGCCCTCGCGCAGCCTTCGCGAGTCCCCTTAGTACGGTCCCGGGGATCGTTTTGACCCTTATCGCGCCACTTCTCGTGACTCGAGTGTGGCTCTTCCTCGGGCTCGGCTGGGTCGATGACCACATCCGCATCAGGTACCTTGCGCACGCTGGCGCGGGCACGGACTGGCACTGGGCCGGGCACTACCGCGCTATGTGCACGGACAGTGACCAAGGTCGGCCCTTGCCGGACCTCCGGCGACTTTCACCGGTGACATGCATGACATATGAACTTATCATGATAAAATAGGCACAAATATGCTATGAAACACTAGTGGACCCCGGGTCCACATGCATGCTACTCGTTAGGGCTTATATGGCACGTACGAGCACTTGACGTCCGAACCAACATTCATAACTTACAAAACTACTCAGGGCCGAATGTTATACATCACAAATGATGACTATAATGGCTAACACTTAGGTCATATCATGCATGCATGAGGATGGGCCTCGGGTGGCCAAAATAGCATATTTTCATGAATGATTTGACCAAGGTAATGAACTCCATTTACATTAAAATTTTTACACCATCAATTACATGATATTTAAGGGTTATTTAGCTAATAATATCGACTTTAACATGCTTGCTACTAAAATTTCATTTTTAAGGCTATTAATTCATTAAATTCGAAACATGCATATAAACTCATGCATGGCTCAGTTTTACTTCATGATAAATCATATTATATCATAATATGGCTAAATAACTCAAGAAGCACGAGCTTACCTCGGCTGGAAATGGAGAATGAAAGCTAGGGCTCAAATGGTGGCTAGGCGCGGCTTTAGGGATTTGGTTGGACTAAGGATGCATTTTGCACGGGCCTTTCTCTTCCAAAAGACTTAGAAAAATCTAAGTAACACTTAGAATATGCTAAGCCTCGAGATATTTTGCTTGTAGGTGGCTGAACCTTGCTCTCCTCTTTCCCCGGGCTGCTGGGCGCGAGGCAGTGGCAGGTAAGGGCTTCTCGACTTTTCTGACTTAGGGCTAAGTATTTGCTCGAGATTTAGGGTGTCAAAGGTCTTCAAAGGGGCTGAGGAAGGGTCCTTAAGTAGGCTGAGGGGCGGAGCTTACAAGGCTAAGTGGTGGGAGGCAAAATAAGTGGGAAATGGCACCACATGCGCATTAAACTTAGGGCTATTGTCTTGGCATGCATTTGACCTGACTTTGCACGTTTTAGTGGACATTATGGGTGGTTTTCAGAGCATAAACAACTGAGGGGGCAGGTCTGGCACGAGGGTGGGGGACAAGGGACTTCCCAAAGGCATTAAAATATTCACTAGCCCACATGCACTCACATTAAAATAATGCCCACTACTTGGGACTTTGCTAATCATTTGCTTAGGGCCATATTAACTTAAACTAATCCTTATTAAGTTTATAATACACGCATGAAAGGGTCTTGGGTGAAAGTGGGCCGAAACTTTGCCATTTGGGCCCAAGAAGATGGGCTGTCGCGCTGCCAGCGCTGGGCACTAGGCACGGGCGCGGCACTGGGCCTGGGCGCGAGTGGGCTGCTGGCTGGCGCGGGAAGTGGGCTGCTGCGCAGAAATGGGGTCTTGGGCCTAGCTCCTCACTTGTTAAAGCTTCCATGGTGTCTCCCATACTTAGAAAAAATATTAGGACAAATGTGCTATGGCTAGAACAAGCCTTGGGCTCGGCTAGGCTTGGTTGGGCGCGGCTAAGGGCGCGGGGCTCGAGACAAGCACGAGCGGCTCGGGTATGGACTATGGCTCGGTTTTTAAAATGTCCAAGGCTTGAACTTTGGTACTCCCACACACTTAGAAATTATTCTAAGTATAAAAATACCAAGACTTGGCTAGCCTCGGAAAATTTCTAGAAAATGACTCGGAACCAAACTAGGGTTCGGAGTTGATAATTTCTCGAATCTAATAGCTATAACTTAGCAACCCAAATTAAGGATTAATCTTAACTTAACTTGAGATAGGATTATTCCAAAGAATAGTTTATCATATTGAGCACTTAGCATAATAAATATAACTCGGGAAATTTCTGAAAACTATGGATTTCACTTATAGTCGAGCAGTGAAACCGTTCTTAATATCATTTCTGATTTGGGGCGCTATAATTTTTTTTTAATTATTTTTATTATTATTATTATTATTTTTATTATTATTATTATTATTATTATTATTATTATTATTATTATTATTATTATTATTATTATTATTTTAATTATTATTATTATAAGTATTATTCGCATTACTATTATATAATTATTATTTATTAATGTTACGTCATTATTAGAAATTTTATTATTACTATTATTATTGTTATTGCATTAAAATATTACTAAGTTATTATTGTAGTTATTATTTTTATTATTGACACGGATATTAATTTTAATGTTCTCTTTTTTGGAAATTTGGCGTTGTTGGTTGTTCAGTCAACGAATCCAAACTACTCCATCGTGACAATTAATATCCTATTGAGACATTATTGAAGCTTCGATTAAAAAGTACAGAAGTAAAATTTGTGGACTTATGCATGAAATTCCCTCATGTGGGGAAGGACTTATATAGATGTCGCTCAAATCGGCCTGTACCTAAATTTTGGGTTGTAAAATATTTTATGCCATAGGAAGATTTGTTTTGCTTGTGCGTAAGGATATTTACGACATCTGCAGTAGTGCAAAAATAATTTCTTCGCTTCGTTTCGTTCGGAGATGTTCAAATAGTTTCATGTCATTTATGCGTTTTCCGGTATTTTTCCTTCCGTTTTTGTACAATTCGTAATTGTTCTTCGAAAGACATGTTAGACACAATCATTTATTATACATACGCTGAAATATTATGTAATGTAGACCGTGGGGTAAAAAAAATGTATAACAAGCGAAGACACACGATGCACTATATAATAATAATGTAAAACTTGTAAGTAATGAAGTAAACTTATATATATATATATGTATATATATATATATATATATGTGTGTGTGTGTGTGTGTGTTATATATATATATATATATATATATATATATATATATAGGGTCGCGCTCACATTAGAATTGTGCTTAATGAAAGAAATAAGAATAAATCATAGCCATCAGATCGAATGATCTAATGGCTAAAAAAAAGTCAATATTATACCTTCATTAAGGGTAGTGCGGTAATTGTACACATAGGCAGGACCCATGCCTCCAACAAACACCAACTCATATATGGGCACCGCCACCTCACCCCACTCTCTCTCTCATTACCCTCTCTCTTTCTCACACATTACCTATCTCTCTCACACACACCTCACACACATCTCATCCCGTCAGTCACACACCCACACACAACACAGTTACACACACACGTCATTTTCGCCGGATTTTCAAGGTGGCGCAGTCACCCCGCTCCTGTCGGCACTGTGCCTCACGGACGTCCACAGCTACACCTCCATCATCTGCCGCATCGCTGCCGGAAATGGTGAGCTCTGAGCCTCCACCGTTGAACTCGCCGCCTCTGAGCTCCTCCTCCACCGCGAAGTTCTGCCGCAGACCGGCCGCCGCTGCAATTATCCAACCATTGAAAATCGCCGCCTGTCCCGTCGGCCACCTCCGCCAATATCCGCGACGAGCGAGTCCGGCCGAAACTCCTCCCTGCTCTGCCATCGTGTCCGGCGTCGTCGGAGGGTCCTTCGTGACCGGCGTCCTTTGTGTCCGGCGACGCAGTCGCAGCCGATGGGCAGATGACCGGAAGGGCCTGCAAAAAAAATAATGGGCCTGCAACTTGATTTGGGGATTAGGGTTTAATTTGGGTATTTTTTTTTTGAAAATTAGATATTGTTAAAGGATCTATATGCAATTTAATCAATGTTTATTGTTTTACAATTAGTCCTTGGCCAAATATATACTTAAAAAATGCACAATACTTAAAAATTTTAATATGTAATTTGTGGAAATACATATTAAATATTACATGTAGTGCATATTGCACAATATTGATACACTGAGTGCATATTAACGATGTTGATAATGCACATTAGTAACTAATATACTACATAATAGTGATATACCAAATGCACACCAACACATATGAGAACGCACCCTTATATTTGCATATATAAGATTGCACATTATTGTTATACCGAATGCACATTAATGCCATTGAGAATGCACATTAATTTGCATGTTCACATATATTAAAAGTTTGGTTATTTCAGTCTTGATTCGGCTCTATTTAAAAAAAAAATTCAAACTGACCGAATTTAAAAAAAAGTATTATTTTATATTATATATATACATATTATTTATTTCAAGCAAACAAGAATATACAATGTTAAATAAATAAAAATTTATGAATACTTAATAATTTTTATTGTATAAACAATTTAATAAATGCATAACAAATTAATAATGTTAATTAAAATACACATTACTATAAAATTTAACATTCAAATGCACATAAAAATTACCCACTCAACTGATTGCACATTAATGTGAGATCGAATGCACATTAGTGTCTATGGATATGCACATTATCAATTTTGATTATTAATATATTATTCCTTTTCACAAACTTAATATAAGAATATTAAAATACTACGCATTTTTTAATAATGTAAAAAAAAATAAATCTTTCGAATATTTTGATAATTTGGTTAACCGACTCGATAAACCCAGTAATTCGTTTAGTTTCTTTTTGGTTTTAGACGAACGCTCGATCGGTGCATACTGCACATTAGCGACTGGATTAATGCACAATAACGTTAGACAAATTGCATATTAATAAATTTCATAGTAAACGATACCAATGTCGACTTCAATAATTAAAAAAAAAAAACCAAACCATAAAAAAATATTATTTTGTAATATATATTTTTCATATTCATATTTTTTTTCATACACATATTGTACATTTTAATTGATTTTATTCTGCATTTATTATTATTCTTTTATAATTTATATACTTAGCAAATGAATTAGTTAATACTATAACAAAAGTTCTTAAAATTTGCAGAATGGTCCCTACACTTTATCTAATTTTTGTTAACATGCCCCTAAATCCAATCTACATCTCCGCCATTCTTCACAGCCACACCTCACCATATTGCCGCCGGCGGGAATCCTAGTCAGTGAAGTCGTTTACATCATACCGCCAACAAGAGAATCTCGAGACCAGAGACTCCGATTCAAGTGACGAAAATCTGGCCGACACCGAGTTGAGCCGTCTGTGCGGGACCAGCGACTGGCGGCCGTTGACCAAGGCGAGGAACTGGCAGAGATTTTCGGTTAAGTGGCAGAGTGGTGGTTGTCGCGGAGGCATCTCGCAGGAATCTTAGCGTCGGGCGACGGAGCTGCAATGGAGGGAAGGAACTGTGGACGGCGACTGTCTCAGGCTACGGTCGGCGACGGCAGAAGGCGGGCTGTGGCTGTTCGGTTGTGTTCGGCGGCAGAGCAGGTTTCTGATGGTGGCTCGGCTTGTGACGGCGGCGGAGCAGGTCGTTGATGGTGGCTCGATTCGTGATGGCGGCGGGCTATGGTGGCAGTGCGGCGGAGGTATTTTGCTGAGTGGGCGGAGGTATTTTGCCTGAGCACGAGAGAGAGAGTGGGTGGAAAGAGATGGGTAGATAGTGGGATGAGATAGTGGTGGGGCCCACTGCAAGTTGTTGGATGATTATGTAATGTCTAATTTGCCCTTATTTATTGGTAAAATGTATAAATTTGACCAAGATGTGTATATTTATTTACAAAACTGCCACAGTATGTTTGACTACTACTTACTAATTTTGACTTGATCATGTCCATTGGCTTGATGGATCCAATGTTCTAGATTTATTCTTATTTCTTTCACTATCTACCATTCTCACATGATCCCAACTATATATATATATATATATGTGTGTGTGTGTGTGTGTGTGTGTGTGTGTGTGTGTGTGTGTGTGTGTGCAATTCTTCAAGACTTCATCCACTAGTACCTCGCAGTTACTTACGTGGCTAGTTTCATTTCAAATTCAATGCTTTTGTATTGCCCCCACACGGGCAAACGTGCACTTTATTTTAATACTCATCAATTTTTGTAGCTTTCAAAATTCAAAAACCGAAACCTGCGTGGTGTTCAACGGGCCGATTTAAGCGACGTCTACAAATTGGAAAACCTGGAGAGAGAAATTCCTCGCCACACTTGAAGACACTACATCTGCGTACAAAGGCCCCATTCTACCGACACACCACGGACTGTGCCAGCGACCGAATAGGTGCTGTGGAAGAAACTTCATCGGTCGATTTCACAGGTACAGATTTTCAGAACCCGCCTTTCTCGTTTGTTCGACTACACTGATAAAAAGGTTTTAGGGTTCATTTGTACACGATTAAGATTAACTTCGGTAAATTAGTCTTATGTGATATTGGGCTTCAGGGTTCTCTTGATTTAACTGAAAATAGGGTTTTTCATGTTAATTAGGGTATCTGATTTTTTGGATCTCATTTTTCCACTTTCCGAAGGTGAACAGATTGTCGGATTTTCTTGCCAACACAACAGATTATGCAAATTAGTGTTCGAAATTAAAAGGGGGCATGTAATTGTTGTTAGGGATTCGGCCTGCTCTGAGAAATTATGTTGTGTAACTTGGCGATTGTATGCTTGTTGATAGCTCTCCGACTCCGTCTGAATTTGTAACTGCAATAGCTTGTATTGTTCACTCTTTCATTGTGTTTTACTGTTGGATCAGGTTCTATGTTTTGTTTACCTTAATAAAGTGAAAATTATAAAAATGTGACATGTTATGTGCATTACTAAACCTGCGCACTAGGTATTTATAAACATGGCATGCTCGTAAGTCTGTGCTCTTCTAAAGGTAATCTGAATAGTGTAGTTCTTAATTAGTATACAGTTTATCAATGTCCTCTTGTATACATTTACTCTGAAAGGCTGTACTTAGTTTTTAAAAATATTTGGGTTGACGTTGTCGGTTGAATAATAACATTCCTATTTGTTTGTTCTTCTGTTTTAAAGGTTCAAAATGTCACAGACGTCAACCACTTCAAATTTTGGAAGACCAAGTAGGCTCAAGTATGAGGAAAAAATATGTCACCATTGTGAAATCAAACTTGCAGTTAAGATTGTTAGCTCCCGAACTTCGAATTATCAGAAATTGTATTACGCTTGTGATAGCCATGGGTTTGTTGGTTGGGCTAATCCAATTAATGAAGATGGAGTGCGCATAAGAGACGACGTTAGCCTTAGCGACAAAGTTGGAGTGCATCGCGAGAGCAACAAAGATGTGAAAAAAAAAAAAGGTTGAAAAGATTTATGATTTACTAATTCTCATATTGGTTCTTGTAATCGTAATGCTTATTGTTATTCTAATGAAATGACAAGAATAGGAATTTGTCTTAGTTGGACATTACTGAACACGTTGTGATGATGATGGAAATGAATGGGCAATTGGTGTTTTTCTATTGTCTGCAGGCTATATGAACATGTGGCATACCATTGAGAAATATTGAAGATGCCTTGATGCTTAGTCACATAACGTGGCTCGCTTTCACAGTTCCACAGTTCACTTCTAGTATGTCTCATATTCCGCTGCACAGACATATTCAATGTCCACAATTGTACAAACATGCACAGTACATATACATCTTTAGGCACTGCTGTTACATTACAAATGAAAGTATTCGAAACACATAGCCATTTCCATATGTTTCTATTTAAAATAAGAAGTACTTCCACCCATCATGATGAATTAGAATGTTGGTCCACATTGCATACATCCAACCAAAATCTAGGCAAAAAACAATGAAATAGTTCATTGCAAAAGTCATGAACTCTAGGGATTACATTAACAGCCTTAACACTTATACACATACCAAACGTGTAAATAAGTATAAGGATTGGAACAAAATGGCTACTACGTGCATCGTTCAACCTCATGGCTTCACATCCGCATACATAACTTACTAAAACCGATGAAGTTGGCATTACAAAAGGACAAAAGGCAGGTTGACGACAATAAACACAGATTCCTATTTGATTTTCTTACTACGGTGACCCGGTCAATATTTGGTGCACCATCGAGCTCCTTCCATCATCGTCGAGGCTGAAAAACAGTTCCATCTCGTCAACGTTTTTGGATAAGTACCGAGCAACAACGACCCTTTCATCAGTTGATACGTTCGGAATTTTTTTGAGTGCATCGTAGACGGCAATTCGTTGTGCTTTTACATCAACTTCGTGACCGACACGTGTGAAAGTTCTGAAAGACGGTTGTTCGTCTCTTGGCAAACGGATGACAGTAGACCGAATATTTTATCCTCCACCTCAACATTACGCTTTCTTTTTCCATCACGCTTAAACTTGCCGGATGCACTACTCTCACCTGCTTGAGCCGAAAAAGAGTCATTGTTATTTTGAGGATAATCAAAATGTTCCGGGCCTGTGTCAAGAGTGAGGTTAGGGCTCGGTACTTCGACGTTTGTGTCATGTAACACCTCATTAACCGCGTCTGTGAAACCTAGTGCCCCCTCTCCCATTGCTCGGTCCTTTCCGAATATTTCTACCCAATCCAGAAAAAAAAGAGGCTAAGGTTTATATCGCATTGCTTTGACCTTTGGATGCGCTTAAAACAATGAAAACAAACAAAACTACGTAAAAGCTGCATATTAAATCAAAAGAAAATGAAATGTGTAAATCAAACCTTGACGTAGGCTTTCCAAATGTCAGCATTCTTCACAGTAAGCATGTTCCCTGTTTCACTCCATTCGAAGCCAGAAGTACCACGCATTCCCAAAAGCAAACCATAATTTTTTTTCCAGACAGTGATCTTGGATGAGATGTGAGGTTCGGCTCTTATAGATGTTCCCGGGAACATCTGCTGCATGTGTTGTTCTAATATGATGGTGTAACCATTGCGAAATCCGTTGTCGCATTTCCAACCACGTGCAACAAGATCGCGCAAGCCTTGAATCAAAGCACGCTCCTCGTCTTCATTCCATACTCGACGTTGTCTTACAGCCTGTGTCCCCCACTGGCAGTGGATTCCATGAGTAACTAAAAGACATAAACAAGAATTGTAAGATTTCTACCATCACCAAGCCAAATAAGAATAAAGTATAAGCAACAAATTGGCAACATTAGTAAGATAAAAAGGATTGTCTATTATTTTAAAGCACATAAACAAGTAGAAAAAACTTAAGTGATACAAATCACACATTTTGAAACAATCAGTCACATAAATTTGCTTCCAACATGAATGTCTTATTTTGGGTTTTTCTAAAACTACAATTAAAAAAACTTGAGTTCCTATTTTCATCATTCGTTGCTTCATTCTTCAACTCCTGCCATCCCATTTATTAAACATTGACATACCAAAGCATCCCGCATATTTGTCCATTCGAGGATTGGCTCAACAACGTCGACATAGTCTAAAGGGGTCATGGGCCTCGGGGTTTGGCTGCCGATTCATTAAATTGTCCCCTTCATTTTCCATTGGGTCCACATGCATGGTAGTCTGGATGAAGTTCTGAAGGAGGCAACAGGCAAGGATAATTTTATTTTGAGTGCGTATGTCGAAATAAGTCTTGCTCCTAAGGACAGCCCAATGCATCTTCAATACTCCAAAAGCTCGCTCAATAACATTTCGCGCTTTGGCATGTCCAAGTTAAACAGCTCCTTATGGTTTGTAGGTAGTCGATTACCTTCACCAAACTCATCCAAATGATACCACACACCCCTATAAGGAGCCAAGAAACCCAGACCATTTGTGTAGCCGCCATCGCAGAGGTAATAGTTCTCTGTGTATGGGAACTATATGTGAGAAATAGAAAAAATAAATTAAATGAAAAATACTTTCAAGATTTGTTATTAACATATTCGTTGCAATGAAGCAAAAAATAATTTATAAATTATTATATTATGCTATCTAAACTAACCAGATGGTACACGAAGGCCCCCTTCTCGGTGAACGGCGTCTTCTAAAACCCTACTGTCAGCCGCTGAACCTTCCCAACCGGATACATACGAAAAATTCATTTCTTGCGTGCACACACCAAGCACATTCATAGAAACAAAATTTTTCCTGTTTCGATATCGTCCGTGTAGGCGTCCAGGGACACGCACTGGAATATAGGTTCCATCTAAGGCTCCCAAGCATCCCTGTGAGAAAATACACAACAAAAAAACAACTTGTACACTTAAGTTATGCTAATAGAATATTCGTATCCAAAAATAGCGGGTATTGTTGAACTCACCTTAAACCATCTCCATCTCCAATCGGTGCATGACTCGGTTACAGCAGTAGGTTCGACCCGGAGGAGGGGGTGCAGACGCAAGACGGCACGTAGAACATTGTGGAAGAATTTGCTAATTGGTTGACCGGATCTTATAAAATCAAATTTCACTACACGGTTTTTCTTATGGTGAGCTAGCACACTAAGAAACATTGCCACTTGCTCAGTGATTTGTATATTTCTGTTGTTCTGGAGCCCGCCAATATGTTCCAAGTAGCATAACCGGACAAAGCTATTTCGATCCATGTGAAGTTGTTCAATGCATGTCCTATATGCAATTTGAGAGGGTAGGCGGTCCGACATACGATATGATGCATTTCCAAGCCGACGTCTAACTCTACGATGGTGTCTCGGTTGAACAACCAACTTAATGTAAAGGTAGGCAATGATAAAAATCAAATTACGAAGATTAATTATCTCTTCGACAAGCAACAGTACTACCGCCTCTTCGGAACCTATGTCCATGCTTAAGCTGATGAGAGCAAACAAAGATATGTATTTCACCATATAAGAGGTGAAGGAATATGCAAACACTTTTTACACAATTCTTGGATTCTAAAAACAACGTAAATTATAAAAGCAATCAAACTATTTGCTGAGACCTTTAAGAAATATTATTCATGTGTAATTTCTTAAGGTTCATCAAATAACATATCAACTTCTTCATTTTATCTTACAAACAGGACGCCCAACAAAGACCATAGATGTATACGTGATGCATAGTAACAACAGTCCCCAAAATAAACACATCTCACCAGTTCAATCAACAACAACATCATATATATATAGAAAAGTCACTTTGAGTTACAAATATACCAAAAACGTATTCCAAAAAGCCCCACAATGGTGCAATCTCCAAGAATTAATGGGAAATTAATTTTAAAATGTAATTGTTACGGGCTTCAATTACCAGTGATGAAGGAGGATGACGGTAAGAGGAATCACAAAAAATCCGTGCCTCGCAAATCACCGATCGGAGTGCGCTCGTAATAAAACTGCAGCGCATAAATTGAAAAATTTTAGGGTTTTAAGAACGACAGATTGTCGAACACAGAGGAACACAGTAGGCAAAAACCAAGTACAATATACATGACCCGTGGTCGTGTTAAAGGTATTGTGCAACAAAACACACGTACCGTCAAGTAGCAGAAGAAAGCAATGAGTTTCGGCACTTCAACCCCTCGCGCAGATCTTGTTCGATAGTCTTGCGGCGAAGAGGACGATGGGTCTTTATATCGGACAAGTTGTAATTTTTCTCTACGCAGAGGCTATTTTAGTACGAATTGTAAAATTTGAGGGTGAAAAATGACTTTTAACATTACACATACTGTTGAGATTAACAAACTCTATTGTTCATAACGAGATCAAATAATGCCCCATACGCAAGATAAAGTGGTTTTAATCTCGGGCTGTGTCTAATCTTACGGGCCTCAGACATGGAAACCAAACGATGGACTGGGCCATGATTAAGAGCTTAATCTTGCCTAATCTCCCCTATCAAACACGCCCTAAGGGAATCTCCGACACACGTGTGTGGGACACATGGCGTGAGCTGATTGGCCTATACTAATAACTGTTTCTGACACATTCCTAACACACCTATATTGTACTATCCGGCAGGACGGGCAGCCTTAGGGCAGCAAACTCAGCAAACTCGGGCAGCCTCTAGAACAGGTATTACACACAACTTCCATAATAGATCATTATCACTTAGAATACTTCTCAAGACTGACTTGAGCGTTGGAGGCTCTTCACCGGAAATTCCCTCCGGTGTGAGAGTTTTGTACAGGTTTTGGCATTCTACCGGCGAGGATAATATGGGCGAGGCGGCTCTTAGCCGGTCAGGGCGTTACAGTTATATTACCCATCTTTCAGATTGGGGTAGTCGTTTTGGTTCTTCACGCTTTAGTCCACTTGTGGCATAAACTGCTTGTCTTGGCACCTGTTAGCCCAATTTTCAGATTTTTCACTTTAGTCGTTGTTTTATTTTTCTTTTCCTTTCTATTGCTTCTCTCTTGCTTCCGGCCTTTTTGTTTATGCTTGTTGTATGACTTTGTAGACCTGTAATTCTATAACTCGTCTTGGGCATGTTTATACATTGGTTGCGAGTCCAGCCTTAACTCTTATCCTACTG